AGACTAGCTGCAATGATTGTAGCATCTTTCTTTCATTCCTGTTGGCATGAGAGTTGAGTTAGAGTTCAAATCGATTCCAGTATGGAAAGACAGGCTTGTTTCTACTATTTCGTGTGTCCCTTAAACAGACGGGACACACCAGAAGCGCAAGGACGATGCGATTTCAGTGGTAATGGTTTACAAGTGACAAATTGCCACGCTTTTGGTTTAACTCATATTTTGATTAGAAGTCAATGTAAAATAGTGTGTTGAAATATAATTTACATGGGCTTGCTCAAGTGGCACTCCAATTGGGATTTATAAAAAGCTAGTAAGGAGAACCAAGCTTGGTCAAAGCTGGTAGTGATAGACAAGCTGGGTTGTTTCTTCTAGTGAGTTTAACTACACCTCTTCCGCTTAATTGGATGCTTAAAACGAACTAATTAAAGTTCGTAATGTGAAAATGCTGTGAAATGGGAAACCCTTTGAAAATAGGACTTTAAAGTAGAACTAAGTTCAATACTAAATGGACTCTAATACGGAAAGACAAACAAGCTGGTAGTTTCTTCCAATTTGCCTAGACAACAAACAAACAACCCGAGAACAGAAGTAGACCCATCACAGACACTGAAAACAAAATCGATAAAACCGGAAACAAAAAGAGGAAGAGAAAACCGAACAAGAACAACTCGAAAAAACAAAACAAACATGTTTCCAGACCTCTTTCAACATGGGTTGTGCTCGAAAGAGTTTCTAAACCATGTTCTCTGTTTGTTGGTTTCTCGGTGTTTTTGTGTTTTTTTGGTTGTCTCAAGTTTGGTTTGGGTGGGCTTGTTTTCTCAAGATGTTTCCTCTGTTCATGTTGGATCAAGTGCCACTGACCATGGCTGACCCATGAGAAGACCGCAAGCCTCAAAGCGCGCAAAAACCGCACTACCAGGGTCCCTTGTTCTGATAATAAACACCTTATGAAGGGAACCACTCAGCCGGAGCAAGCCTGCCATTTGGTTTGAGAGAAAGCGCTCAGAACACAACTGTTGAGCAATGGAGACCCTAATAACAATAACCTGTCGGGCAGCCAGCCTTTGAAGACAAACCGCTCCGAATACAACTTCTCAGCAAGATCCGGGTGACCCCTAAAAGGCACATTGGAGAGAGTCGCTGAGTGGATCTGGCTTCGGGAGAGTTTAGGATTTGTTTAGTTTTTGGTAATTTAAGTAAGGATTTGCAATTTTTAAGTGGGTTTGGCTTGGAGCAGTTCTTTATGGGTCCGGCTTCAGGCAGACAAGTTTGCTCATGATGGGTGACAGATGAGCTCCAAGAATGTCACTTTGAGAAACTTCTCAAGGTAAACGCTCATCAGCGTTAATTGAATACCCAGGCGCATCTTACGAGGACAAATCCTCGCAACGCGCTCGCCGAGGAAAGACCTTCAAACAAGTTCAAACAAATCGTGTGGATCTTGAGTTGGCTATGAGACCCTTAAAACCCTTGCAACAACCACAATTGCAGCTGCCAAACTTCACGGACTTGTGGGCCGTTTCGGTTCACGCTGATTCCTGCGAGGACTTTGGTCTCATGTGTCCAGAGAGCTGGCGGGTGATCATACTTGCAAAAATGCAACCCTAACAGCAGCATCAATCGCTCATCAACCTGAACAGAAGTAAACGATGCGTCTTTCTTACCTTCTCCGCAAAGAGAGAAACAGCGAGCAAATGCATGATGTGGCATGCGCGTTCTGAATTTTATCTCTGCTGTTTCAGCAGTCCTGCGCGACCCGGAGAGGTCAGACAGTCTGTGCTCCGAGCATCATTCCAAATGTTGATGCGCATACCCCGTTCAACTTCTTCAAAGCGAGGCCTTGTTTGTTGAGCGCCTGTCACGCAATACACTTTCCTCAGGAAATTCACTGCAGTAGCCTTTTTGCGCTACCGCTACATTCTGACGCGCGCGTGGCCTGAGGGGCTGACTTGGCGCAGCCCGAGAGAAATTCTGTCAGAGGCCAGAGTACACTCGCCCACTCCCTATTTCCAGCACCGCCCTCCATGCCCCCCACACCCTGACACACACACACACACACACCATTGCAGTGATTGCAAGCGGCTTCGCGACGGTGACCTTTTCGTCAACGGCTCCTGGACCTGTTGCTGCTTTGCTCGAAGAAGCCCACTCGCAAGGCTCCGCCATACGAGTTGTCGTCGCTGTGGCCTTTGCCCCACCCCCAATCGGAATGAACCGGGTGACTAATTAGAACGCAACCCGAGCTATTCAAAGTGACTTGAGAGAGGAAGTCTGCGGCAAGGAAGCTGCTAACAGCATGTTTGAAGCGCCAAGCTGCTCCGAGCAGCAAAGATACTGTGGATGGGCCCAACTTACCAAATCAACCCAACCACACCAACTAACCAGACACAAATGAACTAGCATGCCCTCCAGGGTGAGCTCTTCCTTTTGGGAGAACTGGCTGCAGAAGGTCCCTGACAAGTACAAACAAAACATCTCACCTCGTGAAAAGGTTTCAACCATGTGCGTCAACTCCAAACCCATATCGCTGCCAACTGTTCTTGTCTGCCCAAGCCACCGTGACGGAAGTTCATCACCGGCCCGCGGCTTCCAACTGCAGGCTTGAAGAGTTGCCGAACGCCTAGAGCATCCACAGCTCCGCCGGAACCACGAGCCGTGCAGTTGTAAAAGGTCATGACGCCACCCGTCTGCTCCACAAAGCCCTGAACGTACATGGCGCCTGAGCGCGGGTTGCGAATTGCGGAAGAGAGAGGGACAGTTGCCTGACTGGTCGCCAACCAGTGTGCCCACATGGCAATGTGGCTTTCCAAACTTTGGCAAGTCTTGCAGGAAACCTCCCTTCTAACAGCATGAAAGATCGGAGGCGAACATTACTCAAGACAGAAACACGCCGTCATTTCTGCGGGTTGCGAGTGGCGCGGCAGCCCACACGCAAAAGGCAATCAAACAACTGGCTTCGACCATGCGCGTCGTGCAGGAGGAGCTAAATCTTAGCAGTAAGAAACTTTGCAGGCTTGCCGCAGCCTTGAGATACCTCCCGCACTGCCAACCATGCTGGAGCCAGGCTTTACGGCGCAGCCCAGTAGCATCAGCCGTGCCCGTGTTCAGTGGAAGCACGCCAAACCAGAGCAGCCAGTCACAGCCCAGTGAGCAACGGGTCTTGATGCCATGCTCCCACCAAGACCTGGAGATGTGGAATGATGACGGGCGGCTATGTGAGGATGAAGGTTTTAAAGGCAATAAGTTCAGTGTGCCCTTCAGAGCTTCTGCAACTCACTCAAGTCAAAGGGTAGCTGACACGAAGCGTGGAAGGCAGTTGGCATGCGCCACTTGCTTGTGAGGCATTGAGCACCTCCGCTCCACTAACTGAAAGGCGCGCTGGATGAGGTTCGACACACTTGCTGAGCCTGTGGCAAATCCCCAATGCTCAAGGCCTGAGAGGCGGTTCCAGGGTGTACACGACCATGGCATGCGAACATAGCGACCTCGGACCTGGAGCGATCGGCCTGCGCCACTCAAACTGCTTTGCTGGTAGGTGCTCGAACGAGGGCTGGTCAAAACTCTTATGCGGGCCGTGGCCATCGGTCGCGGTCATGCGCGTGAGAAGATGGGCACTTTGGCCCGGTCGGATCGTAGCAAAGGGGTGAGACATCTACCCGGATACCTTATCAAGAAGTTCATGAAGCCGTTCCAACATATCATCGCACTGCCGTATAGAGTCCAAAATAACGTGCGATTGAAGATCTTCACGTGCACATACACTGCGCTTTGCATGTTGGAGAGGTAGAAGAAGACGTTGTCTTGTACCGCTGCTGACGTTTAAGCGCCAGAGGGGCCGCCGGACATGTGCGAAGCACTTGGCGGTGTCACGCCGATTGGCCCATGACAGTCGTATGAAATTCCATCTTGTTGTGGCACCACGGAACTGGACAGCAGAAACCCGAAGCGAGCGCCGAATGGTAGCGCTGTCGAGCGCGGACCAGAACGCAAGAGGAATAGACTCAAACGTTTTATACTTGAGGAAACAACGAACGTCGTCACATACCGTAGGGCTGTGCGGGTCAAGAACAATAACGGTTTGAGGGGGCGAAGCAGAAGGGATGCCGACGAGCAAGAACAGTAGGCGATTGAGTTTTGCATCGTAGTCTTTTCTGAAGCGTAAAAGCATTGAAAATGGTATATTGCGCCAATCAGCAATACGTTGTGCCACGCGTTCAAAAGTGACATAAACTTTGCTGGGGTGCTTGCCATGTGCGAAATATATTCATCATTGATATTGCAGAGCAATCTGAAAGCGGCCGGTAGAGCGTCATTCTACACCAAGCGCCAGCCTTTTCGCATGCTACCCACAGCTGGAAACCCATTGAAAATCTTAGTAAGATTCGGCTCACCATGCAAAAGTTCTTTGTCGAAGTCTTGAAAGTGCAACATTGCAAGTTTTTCACAAAGCGCTCGACACTTCCAAGTGATTTCTTGAAGGTGTTTTTGAGGGCCCTGGCATTGTCCATGAAAGGGGTATCTGTGCCACATAGATGCAGAAAAGAAGAAGTTCCATCCAAGTGGGCTCACGACCGTCTTTCAATGTCCCCGCCAAAGGGTTCACGTCACTATGGCAATTTCTGCAGCCGAACCCTGGGACTCCAAGCAACTCAACATGTAGAATGTAGAACATATATTTCGTTACCTTGACTCAAAATCCGGGGTGCCCCAAAAACATATTGTCTGACTATGCTTGGTATTTAGTCTTGACATGTTCTCTGGCACCCCAAATGCATGGCACCACAAGCGGCCGGCAAGGACGAGCTGTGGCCCTTTACAGCGCATTCATCATGCGCAAGCGAATTGAAACACCAGAGCCAGTAACAACCAAGCACAGAGAAACATGATGACATGCTTCCGTTTGGTTCTCCCAAACTTATATCCAGGGCATCCTGTTTCCGGAAACCAACCACTGGGTTTACGACAAAATGGAACGGATGGGAACGTCCGACGCTCGCGAATCATGCCAAGGCGCCCCCCTCGAAACTTGCACGTGAGTTCTTCACTTGAAGGCGCCCGCCAGACTGATAGATGTGACCTCTCAGCACGTAGAGCGAACCTCCATAGTCCGCGCTGCAGCCCTGGAAGAAGCGACTCGAGAAACTGCGACGTGTCACCCGAAAGGGGCCCATATGTGCGCATGATGCTAGCTCTCAGCGTTTGGGCAGTTGTTCAGTGGACTTTTCGTAGTGGAGGAACATAACTGCAGTCCAAAAACCAACGCTGCAAATTCTGTGTGGGAGGAAACTAGGGCTACAAGCCATTGATGCTGCTAGCTTTCCTAAATGTCATAGTGGGTGGCAAACAAATCTTGTAGACATATCGTGCATCACATTCTGCAAGCGTCACATGCAATCAAACTGATCAATGTGTCCTCCCCAGTTCCATCTGTCTAGTTTTCCCCACAAGAAGGATCGTGAGATTGATCTTTCGAGGGCTTATCCAATGGACCCTTGTATCTCTAGCAATGTATGGAGTTGCAAGGAGACCCCAATAATACATTAGGGGCACATGGCTAGTGACCAAATGGTTTCTGGGGTCCAAGCTTTGACCCACCCGCCTGAAAGGACATCCAGCCGCCGCGCATGGAAAAGTTGTCGCCCACAAACAGGCAGCCCCCGTAGGTCGCGGTTCCATTCCGAAAGGTGACGTTTCCACCGTTGATGGTCAGCAACTTCTCCACATACAAGGCACCTGAAGAGGCACGGCGCAACAGCGAAGGGCGCAATGCAAGCCAAGATAGCAGTTTGCCAAAACCAAAAATGCGCCTAAAGATTTGCCAGGTGGATATCGCAAAGGTGGTGTTCATTGTCCAGATTGCAGGGTGTCCGCGCTAGACTCTAAACGAATCTAAATGAGGTCCCTGTAATTTCGTTCGGAGTGAGCCAGTATCTTTGCCGCGCGTGCGGCTTTAATGACAGGCCCATCAAACACAACGCTTGCCTCACGGGCTGGGGCACTCCATGAGAGAAACATGACCAGCCCAATGGCTTGTTTGGAACCAGCGTCAATCGAACCCTGTGCCACAACAAACATCTACTCAACCAGGAGCCTGCAGCCTGGTTCATGCACTGCGCGGGTGCAGTGTAAGCCAAGAGAAGTGAACACCGCAAATAGTTTTGCAAGAGCATTTCAGCATGTCTCAAGGCAATGGCATGGCACACATACAGGGCAACAGGAATGAATCTGGTTGCCCAATGTGGGCCTATTTCAGTCATCCCAGTTGTTCTGTGGGGTCCGCACTGCAAACGGTCAACTTGGGACCCCGCCCGCACACAACAGTCCCCACTGGATCCAACTCGTCCACTAACAGTAGGCGGCAGGATCCAAGACCGCCCAACCAACAATAAGGGTTGGTTGGTTCTGAGTTTATGGGAAATATAGGTTTTCTCATCAGAGGGCGCCCCCCCTTTTGACCGGGTTAGAGGGAATAAACAAGGAAAACCAACCATTTGTAGGGATTTTTTGATAAGCACTGCAATTTAAAAACTCCTCGCCTCCATCATCTACCTGGTGGCCTCCGCAATCCACGAATTCAATCTCCGGGTCAACAAAGTCCACAGAGCCCTCCACGTCCAAACACCGGTGGTCAGCGCCTACATTCACAATTCACGCAAGGTCGACAAAAAGCAAACAAACACGGGCGTGCTACGAAACACGGACCCTTCGAATCATAAAGTCCCTTTGGAATCCTTTGGAAACCACTCCACAAAGGGTACCCTCCAAAACACACACCCGTAAGTTGTCAGTCTGCAACCTCCCTACATCTCAAAATAAGCTCAGGTGATATCCCCAACAGCATTCGGTTCTCTTTTTACTGCTCGCACCACCCCGCAACCCTCGCAGAATACCCCGGAGCCTCTCTGGGCTGAGACCCCAAAGCTTTCAGCTGTTGGGGAAAAATTCCCGAAAGCATTGCGAAGGGCTCTTCCGTGCGGAGCTCTTGGTCAACTTGCGCAGAGTAGCTTGCACAGAGTCACCAGCATGGAGATAATACCAGGAGCTCTTGGTCAACTTGCGCAGGGTAGCTTGCGCAGAGTCACCAGCATGGAGATACCAGCATGGAGATACTGGCACAGAGTCACCAGCATGGAGATACTTGCACAGAGTCACCAGCATAGAGTCACCAGCATAGAGTTACTCGCGCAGAGCCAAGTGCAAAGAGCCAAGCGCATAGAGCCAAGTGCTCAGAGCGAAGTGCAAAGAGCGAGGTGCAAGGAGCCAAGTGCACAGAGCCAAGTGCACAGAGCCAAGTGCAAAGAGCGAAGTGCATCGAGCCAGGTGCATAGAGCCAAGTGCATAGAGCCAGGTGCATAGAGCTAAGCTACGCTAGGTGTAGAGGCTCGGCGGTAGCAGCTGTGTAAGCTAGGTTAAGTAAGTTAGGTTAAGTACTTAACGCGCGGGAAAGAAAGAGAAAGAGCTCGGTATTAAGAATCTCTTTTAAGGCCGGGGGTGGGGATGTTGCCGACGATCGGGAATGCGACCTTCTGCGGGGATCGGCGAGGTCGAGGTGCAAAAACCGGGGATTTCTGCGCTTTTTGATATGCCCGCGCGACCCTCTGCGGAGATCGGCGTGGTCGAGGGGCAAAAACTCACGGATTTTTGCGTTTTTTGATATGCCCGCGCGACCCTCTGCGGGGATCGGCGTGGTCGAGGTGCAAAAGCTCGAGGTTGTTTTTGTGTTTTTTTGCGGTGCCCGCGCAACCCTCTGCGGAGATCGGCGTGGTCGAGGTGCAAAAACTCGAGGTTCTTTTTCGTTTTTTGCGGTGCCCGCGCGACACTCTGCGGGGATCGGCGTGGTCGAGGTGCAAAAACTCGAGGATTTTTGCGTTTTTTTTGCGGTGCCCGCGCAACCCTCTGGGATCGTGCGTGTCGAAGCGCTCTCGCTATGGCGCCGTGCGATTTTGCTCGCGAAGTGGCCTTAGGAAGTTGTCTCGTGGTTTGCGCGCCTGCTTTCGCAATCCCGCGGTCGCGGGTTCGATTCCCCCCTGGTCCGCGGCAGCTCCGGCTTGAAAATCGCAGCTTTTAAGTACAAACGTCGTACGCGGAGCGTGCTCCTGCAGCTCCGGCTGGAAAATCGCAACTTTTAAGTACAGACGTAGTATGCGGAGCGTGCTCCCGCGGGAAAACCGCAACCTCTAAGTACAAACGTAGTACACGGAGCACTCTCCCGCAGCTCCGGCTGGAAAATCGCAACTTTTAAGTACAAACGTAGTACACGAAGCACTCTCCCGCAGCTCCGGCTGGAAAATCGCAACTTTTAAGTACAAAAATAGTACGCGAGGTACATTCCCACAGCTCCGGCAGCACTTGCGCAGAGCAACTTGCGCAAAGCAACTTGCACAGAGGACTTGCACAAAGCACTTGCGCAGAGCAACTTGCACAGAGCACATGCGCAAAGCGCTGGCACGGAGCAACTGGCGCAGAGCACTTGCGCAGAGCAACTTGCTCAGAGCACTTGCTCAGAGCAACTTGCACAGAGCACTTGCGTGCAGCAGCTTGCAGAGAGCAACTTGCGCGCAGCAGCCTGGAACAATGCAGCTTGCGCAGACCACTTTCGTGAGAAATCGCGCGGCGCAGTTCGCGCAAAGCACATTGCGCCGAGCAGACTCGTGCAGAGCCAAATTGCACAGAGCCAGCTGCGCAGAGCCACTCGCGAAAAGTAGCTTGCGTAGACCCAACTTTCACAGAGCCAAGCTGCGCAGAGCCATCTTGCACAGGGCGAAGTTGCGCGAGCGTGCTTTGCAGAAACTTTGGCCGTCGTGTAAGCTTTGCTATTGATTGCTTTTCCTTTTGCTTGTAATTCGTTTCGAGCTTTACGAGCTTTACTCTTCTTGTTTTAACGGATGTAAATATGTGGGATCGAGCACTGCCGTGTTTCCTGTCGTAGGACGATGAGATGGAGCTCTCATGTGACGATACACATTGAGCATCGCCGCGTGCGGACACGCTCGCCGCAGCGATGTAAAAAGGTGTCTCCGCGGCTGGATGAGCACCTGGGGAAAAATGCCTTCGGGCCAATCGTCCTCTAGTACTTTTTCAGGGAAACATGGAGAAATGTACGTTCCGACCAGTCTCAACCAGAAGCGATGGCATCGATGGCATCACTCCAGTCCCTCATGTGAACCTCAGATTCCCAAATCCTGCAAAATGAACCTAATTGAGGAGAGGAGCTGAGAGGAGCTTTCGACTTTTCTGTGTGAACATGCCCCATTTCAAAGGATCAATCTGAAGTGGACAATCTAGAGGCCTTTGACTGGAGAGTCATAAGCGAGGCTCTTCCTCCACATGGTTGCCCTACCAGGACCAATCTGACTAAGCACTTCATGGATCCCAACGGGCCACTTGAAGCTTGTGGAAAGAGGAGGCCGTGCTTTTGTTGATATTTGCCGCAAAGGAGAAATCAAGGCACCGGCATCTGAATTCAAGACCTCGTCGTTTAAAAAGCCCATAGAATCCCATACTTCCAATGACCATAGCCAAATGAGCGCTTTGTTTGTAACCAATGTGTACATGATTCTCCTCATTTTGACCCCGGACTTGTGAAGCCTTTGACTCATAGGGTGTGCCCGACCTTTGAGTTTGGAGGGAACCCTTCGCTGTTGGCAAAACACACACCAAGCGAATCCTAATCCACCAAGTTGATGATTTCGGGCTCAACATGAAGAGAACTGAAGTTCTCGCCCGCCCCAAAGCTAGAAGGGGTACCCTCAAACACACACGCACGCACGCAGCTGCCTGGCAGCTTGCGGAAGATGATGGAGCCCTGCAGGCGCAGGCTTTGCAGGAAGTGAAGCTTGCCCAACATCGCCACCTGCTGCTTTCTCACGGGGCTGGGCAAACTTGTGTGGTGAAACATCTGGGTGTCTTAAACAATTGGGCAAGAGTTGGGAAACAGCAGGTTGTGCCCAGTTTGAGGGTATCTTTCTTTTTGTTTCGCAGAAAGTTTAAAGCCACCCAAATTTTCTCCCACTGATGATTTAGAGACACCCATTTATTTCAACAACGATGGCCCTCAAAGCGGCAAAAGCAGTAGTTTTGCTGCTGAAATAAGTCATTGGCCGGCGTCCCCGGCCGACCAGGCCAAGCGGCGCCTAGTCTTATCCACGCCTGCGTCCCCGGCTTGCCGCTGAATGTGCAGTTCTCCGGGAACTCGATGGCGCCGGTCCTAGAGGCTCCCTCCACGGAGGTCGAGTTCCGTGGATCTTCTCTTTCCCCAAAGGGAAATGGGGTCATCAGTGGAATTCCAGAACCCCCTTATGGTGGGGATCTGACTTGTGACTATGCGCTGGTCATGCTAAAGCCCGGTTTCCCGCAAAAAAAGGAGTTAGCTTAGCTCTGAATGAAAACCACCTTTGAATGTTTGTTGTGGCTGTCTCAGTTTACCTGAAGTATCGCCAGAGTTCCGGAAATGGTTTGGGACATCCACACAGGGGCGATATGATTAAATGTGTTCCGTGGTGGAATGTTGACACGTCGAGCAGGCCATTTACCAACCAAAAACTTCTCCCTTCCACATTGACTGCTACGTGCAGCATTGCTCCCAAGAACAGCGGTCAGAGCTGTCAAGTCGCACATATCTCTCCATGGCTTCCCACAGTGGAAGGCAACCGGTCGGAACACTGGCAAAACAAGCTGACTCCAGCCAAGGCTGTGCGTTTGGTCCTGATGGATCCCAATCCCCCCCAGGGTCCACTGGGGCCTTATTCGGTGGACAAGCGGGCGCGGGCTTCGAGGGATCGTTCTATTCTCTGAGCAGGATGTACCAGTTTTACGCCTTTTACAGGACAGTAGCACGTCCCGATTAAGCTCTAGCGGCTTTTACAAAACAATCCTTGCAAAAGGCATCAAGAGTTACAACCCGGCGTTTGAAAACCAATGGTTTCGCACTGCAACTTGACTGTCACCAGGACGTTTTTGCGCGTGAAGGGCTCTAGCTTCCAAAATAAGTTCTAGGAGGGGCAAAGAATCCTACAGTACTTCAGGCTGGCTCTCCTGCAAGGTCTCCCATAGTCAAATCGCCACATGCACACGATGAGTGGGAATATCAGCTTGCAAGTTGTAGAGGAGGCGCCTTGTTCACGACAGTAACTCTTATTGGCACTGGACGAATGGACACTTGTCAATGCTCGACTGCGAGCGTTTCCAAACTAAATCCCAATGTTGACATGCAACAACCCATGGTCCACTTCTCCAAGCTGGTGACAAGGATTGGCATTAATCTAAATATGTGTATACTATATATATATATACATTATATATATTTATAGTATGTATACACAGACACCATATCATTACAACCGCTTCTGCTTAAGTGACTGCCAATCCGAGGATGTACAAACCTCTCAGCTAAATTAGTCACCAGTTCAACGGGATGCTTCCCTACTGGGTCCTGTAGTTGCCGTCAAGGTGTACGACTCCACTCTCGCAATGTGGCAATTTCTGCCACATCTCCCGAACTCGTTCGCCCCGAATCCCAAGACACAGAAAGATGCACGCCCATGGTCGACATAGTAAGGGCATTGGCCCCGAAATTTCTCAGACTACATGGAGCCGGCTTGCCAAAAAGCAGCGGGCTTTCTTGAGCCTGAAGCGAAAGTGCGCAAAAAGGCTATGTATCCAAGAATCGATGGACATAATCCACTTCACGCCAGTTGGGATTGATGAACCCCTAGGATTACTGGGGTCAATCATCTGCCAACCGGTGCGGGAGTTTGTCCATCCACAGTGCCGTTGTGGCTGGCCGGCCGATGTGCAAATACTGGAGCTGCAGTAGGTTTACTCAAAAGCTGCTATGATTGAAAGGCAATGAATCTTCGATTGCCAACAATGTTCCCCGTATTCCCCGTCGGGAGCCACTAAAACCGCATACAATTATCAGAGCAGGTATATCAAACACACCACCCTGCATTGCTCTGACAGTATCTGCTCCAGCCTCTATGAGCTGGCACGAAGGCTTTCGCACAAAAACAAAACGGCCACACCCTACGGACTGGTGAATTGCCTGGATCCAGGAAAACAAACTGGTGCACCATGAAAACTGCTTCGACGGGACCCAAACATGCGGAGATTCAGTTGCTTGCCTAGTGGACAACCGTTCAGCAAAGGGTTACAATTTCCCTTCATCCGCTGGACAGCGGAAGGAAGTGGAACATTCAATCTCAAAGCGCAACACTTCCACATCGAGCACTCCTACGCAAGGCTGAAGATTCAGGGCAATATAATATAATTGTCATTGTTCCTTTTGGATCCCCGTGGCACCCAAACAATAATGGGGGTCTGTGTGGCTTCCCTTTGCAACCTCCCAAAAAACAGAAACATCAAGTGGTGCGGGTTCTCTTCAAAATACTCCAACGACAAGGTACCCAGAGGGTCCAAGCACCTCCTAAGGACCTAAGGATCACTTTGGCCCATATTTGATCCACCTAAGTACATCATGGTACATCCTTAGAAGGGACATGAAGGGACCCTTCGGGGAAACTACCCTTGCGCAAGAAACCACGCCCGTTGATTCACCAGTTGCTCACACGCCCGATCCGATGCCCAGCGACTGCTCGTAGTGCTGCCGCCGGTTGGCGGCGGCCTGCGGCGCGACGGATCTGATCCCAAGCTGTCAGGAAGCCAATAGGCCGATGGTCACATGGGTCCCTCGCCCTTTGGGCAAAAGCTCTGACCATTTGGTGGAAGGGAAAGCCACCTGTTTGTAAGGGGTCTAAGGAGAGAACACCATGGCTTCAAATCAGCTTGAAAGGCGTCTACATTTACTTGAACCAAATTGGCAATCATCTAAATGGATGGTTTGTCGACCAATCTCCTTTAGTCCAAAAGAAATTAACGGCCAAATGGACCAGCAAGCAGAATCCTAGCGAACAACAGATTCGTCATGGCTAAGGTCCGTGAGGTTGTTATGTATGATTTTTGCGATGTTCCGTTTTCGGTTGCTGCATGTTACAAACTCCGTGCCGACTGGTCTGCGGACACCAGCCCAACACCAGCATTCTCGCTTGGCAACAACCGGATCTGAGCCCGGTTTTGCGAACGAGCAACTCGAAGCATCATTCAAGAAGCAAACAACAATGGCAAGACACCGCTAACGGTGCTCTGTACGCTGCAAGGGGCCTGTACTGTACATTGCATGTTCAACCTACGAGTAAGGGGTAACAATGGATTAAATCTAATGCGCCGGAGGCGAAATATGAAGTAACATAAGGCTTTCGGCTTTCGTCTACACATGCTCGAACATCGTAAATTCGTCGAATACCTCTTTTAAAGCTCTGGCAACCCAACCGCTACCCCTGCAATTGATAACAACAAAGATGGCCCAAATAAGTGGAATCGTGTTGTGTTGGATCTAATTCAGATCTCTTGCTGCAAATCGCTGGCTTCACCATCCTGATGATACAGCTTCAAACCATCCAAGACATGCATGTGGGGGGGGTTTGCTCAGGTTTGACCACAAGCCAAAACCGGGGTGCTCTGCAAGGTCACTCGTTAAATCGAAATATGACCATGTTTACAACAGGAACAAGAACAAGAAGAACAAGAAGAACAAGAAGAACAAGAAGAACAAGAAGAACAAGAAGAACAAGAAGAACAAGAAGAACAAGAACAAGAACAACAACAACAACAACAACAACAACAACAACAACAACAACAACAACAACAACAGCAGCAGCAGCAGCAGCAGCAGCAGCAGCAGCAGCAGCAACAGCAACAGCAACAAGAACAGCAACAAGAACACCAGCAACAACAACAACAACAACAACAACAACAACAACAACAACAACAACAACAACAACAACAACAACAACAACAACAACAACAACAACAACAACAACAACAACAACAACAACAACAACAACAACAACAACAACAACAACAACAACAACAACAACAACAACAACAACAACAACAACAACAACAACAACAACAACAACAACAACAACAACAACAACAACAACAACAACAACAACAACAACAACAACAACAACAACAACAACAACAACAACAACAACAACAACAACAACAACAACAACAACAACAACAACAACAACAACAACAACAACAACAACAACAACAACAACAACAACAACAACAACAACAACAACAACAACAACAACAACAACAACAACAACAACAACAACAACAACAACAACAACAACAACAACAACAACAACAACAACAACAACAACAACAACAACAACAACAACAACAACAACAACAACAACAACAACAACAACAACAACAACAACAACAACAACAACAACAACAACAACAACAACAACAACAACAACAACAACAACAACAACAACAACAACAACAACAACAACAACAACAACAACAACAACAACAACAACAACAACAACAACAACAACAACAACAACAACAACAACAACAACAACAACAACAACAACAACAACAACAACAACAACAACAACAACAACAACAACAACAACAACAACAACAACAACAACAACAACAGCAACAGCAACAGCAACAGCAACAGCAACAGCAACAGCAACAGCAACAGCAACAGCAACAGCAACAGCAACAGCAACAGCAACAGCAACAGCAACAGCAACAGCAACAGCAACAGCAACAGCAACAGCAACAGCAACAGCAACAAACAACAACAGCAGCAGCAGCAGCAGCAGCAGCAGCAGCAGCAGCAGCAGCAGCAGCAGCAGCAGCTAAAACTACGTCACGCGGAAACACAAAATCTAACATGCTTCAGAAATGAAAGTAGTTGAGGTCTGCTCGAGGGACACAACATATACGAAAATGGGATCTGGTCTTGCTGAAAGAGAGGAGGGTGAAATCATGACAATCCAACCATCATGAAATGAGCAACCAAACAATGACTCTCTGAGGAGACTGACCTGGAAACGTTGAAGTCACCCTTCTTATCCCTTCGTACCAAACAACACAAACATCTGGTAGCATGTTGGTAGCAATTCGGTACAGTGCCCATTTCAGCCAGTGCAGTCGGCCGACACCTTTCCACATCTGCCAACCGGCGTTCTCTGTGATGCAGTGTGTTGACTCACATGCGATGCCACGAAGTCCCTCATCCGATATGTGTCAAAAGAGGTGAGCCCCCTTAAAATGGTGGTTTTCACTTTGGGCCCCCTGACAATACCTGAAGAGGGTACCCTCAACACACAAACCCACAAATTGCCCCTTGCTGAAATGGCGTCTCGAAACCTCCGCGAGCGCTCCGCCCGCGAATTTCGCGCCACGCCTCCGCTTCAGAGGCGAGCTTCACGGCCTCCCGGTGTCTTTGCCGCAGCTGCTGCAGCTCCTCCAATACGCCCTCTGTGTGAGGCCAGTCTTCTGCGTGCACACACACGAACACAGAACAACATCGTACGCGGGGCGAAAGATATACCAATGATGTTGGACCTCCTTTATTAATAGTACTCGCTACTGTGGAAACTGTCTTCTAATTCAGAATCGTTTGACTGTTTTAGGGGTTCTCTATTGTGGAATGTTGTTTTGCCAGACACAACAATGGGAAAATATGGGCAAAAAACTTGGCAAACAAGTCGGACAAAAAAAGTCCAACAAATCCTGGCAAACATTGGGAAATCCTTTTCTTGAAGTGGTCCCCAAACCATCAAATTTAAGATAATTTCTTTACAAAAAGTGCGGGCAAGCAGTCGCACAAAGGGGGGTGCCCACAAGACGCCCAGATCCTTTCTAATGCGACTGTTTTGGGGTCCTCTTTAGTGTCCAGCTGGTTTCGGGGTTGCCGAAAACTGACCAATGCCTCAGACTTTGACTTTTAAAGAAGGGGACTCATCCTAAGCTCTCCCCAGCTCAAAGGCTAAAGGCCTGAGATCTAGGAAATCGCAAGTTGTTCCCAAACCATTAAACTTAAGATAACTTCTTTACACAAAAGTGCGGCAACCAGTCGCACAAAGGGGGGTGCCCACAAGAGGCCCAGATCCTCTTTAATGCGACTGTTTCGGGGTCCTCTTTAGTGTCCAACTGGTTTTGGGGGTTGCTGACAAAACGATCCTTCGCAATACTAAAGTAGATTGGCAATGCTAAAATAAGTACTGGGGATCTGAGAGTCAGTGTTGGCGATACTAAAGTAGAACTGGCAATGCTAAAGTAAGTACTGGGAAGCTGAGAGTCAGCCTTGGCAATACTAAAGTAGAATTGGCAATACTAAAGTAAGCGCTGGAAATCTGAGAGGGAGCTTTGGCAATACTAAAGTAGAATTGGCAATACTAAAGTAAGTACTGCCCCTCCCAGACCCCCAGGATTTCACTAAAGAGAGTCCCGCCGACTGGTTCCACTGTTCAGGGGGGGTGGGTATCATTAAAGAGAGTCCAGCTACTACCGCTGCAGGCAGTAATGTATGTGTGTGTGTGAATCACATCTAGTCTGTACATGATGGTGTGCCTTGCTTCTCCACAACAATGGTGTCTATGGTACTTGGAATTGGCGGACTCACCCCAACTTAAGACACCGCCTGGTGCCAATGCTCTCTGGTCGCGTGACCATAGAAGGAGCTCCAAGGCTTCATGGTGTCTGCGCGTGTTTGGTCTTGAAATATGTTGTTTCTTTTTGAAGAGGCCTATCAGGCTTCAAGGATCTGCGCAAGTCAAACCAATAACTTTGGCGACTGCCATGTGGTCTGGCTACCTGAGTCATGCTCTTCACAAAGGCCTAATCCAGAGTACCAGTGATCTAAGCTCCCCAACCAGCTGTATGGATGCGTTAAAAAAACTGGTTGCGTGACTTTGAAGCAACAACCTGAACATCACATTTGAAAGGGTGTCCAGTTTTGACAAGCGGAAAAACCCTTTGAATCATCGTGATCAAACCACTCCAGTTGAAACAAAGTAGACAAAGATCCGCGGTCTGCTTCTGTCAGCCAGTTTGGCCTCACCCTGCTTTTGCACACTTCCAGTTTTGCGATTCAGTCCGGCCCCGTGTCCTGTGCGTTTTGCAGAAGCTGATCGCGCCCGGCTGTTGCAGCCTGGTTTGGGGCGATGCGAGCTCGAAGGGGTCCAATCTGGGTCACTCGCACAAGTGTCAACTCCAAAGTCTGACTTCTCGTATTGGGATAAGAGTGAGAAACCTCCGAAACAAGACAATGAAACTGGGAAAAGACCTCAGAACCCATACTTCAGATTGAGATGGATCTTTCCTCAGACTGCCTTCTGGATGCCTGTCCTAGGGACAACAACAGGAAACAAACCGCTTGTGGAGAAGCAGTTTAATTGCAGGGCGCACCAAATGTGAATCCAAAGGGCAACCTTAGTAACTTGCTGCACACACAGTCCCTCACGCAAGCATGCCCTACAAACCCTTGCCTTCACAAGAATAAGGCTGACCAGACTGAAACGCTGCGGAAGGGTGCAAAGGCCGCCCAAAGCTCAACACGATTTCAGACTTGCAGCCCACGTGAAAACAATATACATTCGTTGGCTTCCTTCACCCTTCTCAGCAGTGTTGCTCTAAATTGCAGAACTGGAGTACACCCGCATGATGAAACTTTGATCTTTTGCACGGCTGCGATTGGTTTCAACACAGCAACCGCTCACGGCGTGTTTGCAGCTGGGACACGCTTTCAAGTGCGGACAACTGCAAAATGTGCATCCTGGACGCTGTGCAAACAAGTTATGCCAACTTGTTACTATTGAAACAATCACAAAGCTCTTCCGGAGACCTTTCACAGCCTTTTGCAACCAGAGAAAGATCCTTCCTACCTTCCGCTGCTGGGGATACGTTGTCTTTGCACACGTGTGAACTGCAAAACTGTATCCTAGCTCAGCCAAAGAAGCCACCATTTCAAGGGGATTGGGTGTGTTGGGGGGAGAGGGGTCACATGCCATGGACCCAACGCCCAAAGCACATTATCGGAATTCCGTCCTGGGGACCCCCTGCAAACCTCAGCTTTTGAAGGTGCACTAAAATGACCTAACCTGTAATTGATGCAAACAGTTGTTTCACGAATTACTCCCATGTCGATTTGCACCTTTCAAAGGTTCTATAAATTGTTTTGAACCTTCAACATCATCCCGCACGACTCACGGCTATCTCAGAAGTTGCCCCCCAACAACTAAACTAATATGTTTGATTCTGGTCAATATTGAACGAGACTTGAAATTGCAAAAACGATCTCCAACGAGATCCCCAGAGAGCTCCCCCATTTTGGTCACTACACCAATGGGCTGGGTGCGTTTCGTAGGGGGGATCCCTGCAAGGGGGCTGGCACATACTGGGTCCGTTTTGGTAAGACAGCTGCCAAAAACTATCCAAATGATGGTTTAGAGAGTTTCTACAGGAATCCCAACTCCTTGGCAACCCTTCATAGGTTCACTTTGCCGCATGCAGAGTGGCCTTCCCACTTCCCCAACCAGCCGGTTCCGGTTCACCCCCTCAAAATGGGGAATTAGAACTTAACACAAATTGGGCTAAGACCGGCTAAGAGCAATTATGCACACATTCTCCCCCTGTACCTTATTATCATGACTTTTGGCGTTCATAGCACCCCTAAAACCCCATTCTAATTCACGGAGCCCTTCTTGTAACCACCTTGAAGCACCAAATCGTAAAGCCGTTCTCCTGATCCTCACTGCGCTTTCGCGCCTGCCGCAGCGCAGTTGCGAGGGCCTCCACGTGACCGTGCCAGGCGCCGTCCACCAGATCCCCGGCCTTGTCTTCCGAAAAAGGAAAACGGGGACGGGGGGGCAAACACAGAAAAACACCATACCCTAAGGGTGCCCTACCTGAGGTACTTTCTGTGACCCAGGGCTAAGGAAAAGCCGGATGGAAAGCAGCAACTGGGTCCCTGCTCGCCTGTGACAAGAATGCTGGCCGACTACCTGTGTGTTGCTCAGCTTAGCTCGGGCCGACGTTGGAAAAGACTCCCTTTCCGTCTACAAGACTTTCAACTTCACCCTCAACACCTGCTCTCAACAAAGGCCAAGGAAACCGCGACTGGCTAGATAGGACATGAAGTAGACACTCTATTTATTGCTTCACCTGAGCCATCAAAAAAGTCAAAATGTATCCCAACTCTTACACCCTTCACCCCCAATGGCACCGGCAAACCACCACTAAGCCCAACAGTCACAGCTGGCGAGTGGTACCTTTCCCCTGTACACCTGGAACTGGAAGGGGCCTTCAAAAGCACAGTGGTCCAGAAGCCTCCCGTCCAATTTCTATGCTAGTGGGGGGGTACCACTGACTCCTCAAGTCTTGGGAGTTCGTCAACATGGTTAGTAGCCCTAGTTACAAGAGTTTACACAGGAAGGTTGACTGAGCAATAAGTGGGACTTATCCGGGGGTCAGCAAGAGGGGCAAAATAATTACCAATATCATTGCCTAATATAACATAGAAGGACTCAATAGTCCCCCCAAATCCCTTGAGCTAGGCCCTAACAGTAGTCGTAGTGCACGATCTTTTCCCCACTGGCGGATTGACTTCTTCGAACAATCGCGGAAGTGGACAAGGTGCTTTTTAAAGGAGGCTCATGATATTTGTCGTTCTGGTGCAGTTGCTGACCCCCGAATAAGTCCTACTTAGCCTCAGTCAACCCTCCTGTGTAAACCCTTGTATCTAGGGCCACCAACCATGTTGACTAACTCCCAAGACTTGAGGAGTCAGTGGTATACCCCCGTCCCTTCCGTTGGAGAGAGTGAACTTCCGAAGACTCGCGGCACTCCCCGCCTGCTGCAGGCCTGCGCCCAGATTCTCGTGAGCCGCAGCCAGGTCGTCCAGCGCGTACAGCACAGCGCACATGTAGCGGTCCACTACACCTGTTCGTTTGGGGTGAAAGTTTGGACCCTTTTTGCGCTGCCGGATACACAACCTCACTGTTTCGGATATCGGTCTTGGTACAATGTGTTTTTGCCGGGTTATATACTCTAGATCTGGTGGTGGTTGTAGCAACACGTCAGGAATGTCAGTGGCGTGTGTCGAGGACCAAAATAATCAGGCATGCCCGTTTCACTTCATGCTGAGTCAAACACGCGTGCTCTACCCGAGTCAACAACAGTGTACTGGGTGTTAATTCAGATACTTGAAACTGCAATGTACAAAAGCAGGAGTGCTGCAAATATTTGTTACATGTATCAAAGTGTTTGTTCCTGGTTCTCCCGCTTGCGACCATGCATGAGCAAGACATGCCAAACAAGCAAAGCCCAAGGAAAAATGTGTGGGTGTGTGTCCCACCGAATGTGTTGTGCGCCTGCGACCGTATTGAAACCCTTTGTACAACTGTCGACTGGACCTCATTTGTTGACGTCTTCGACCCCTTGAAAAGCGGCAATATCACCACAGCCCATAGTCTCCATTTTCGTATACCCTGACACGCCCGGACACGTCTCTGGGGTGAGGATTCAAATGGATAGCTTAGGTTCGCTTTATAACAAGTTGCAGCAATAACCCACGGGGTATGACTCAGTTACCATCCTTTAACTAGTCATGCAATGCATGAAGTGGCTCAAATACATGTGAAAACATAGCATGATGTATGGAAACGACTCCCACATGGCGTCAATCGTAAGCTTATAGGTGAAAGCAATCCAGACTTACCCTCACCTATCCGCCTTGGTTGTGTATTGCGCAAAAAAAAAATCACGAATTGCAGGTCCAGCGCCCTAAATATTTGTGGTCGCGGCTATTTAAAGGTTCTTGTGTCCCGCCCCATCTCAGGCGACTCGCAAGCGAAGCATTGTAAGCTCACTAGCCCAAAGAGCTTGAACAAAAAGCAAAGGCAAGTGTACCAAAAACCAACACGATTGTTGCCAAATCAAAGGCGTTGCCAGAACGCGTGGACAAATGCTCCCGTGATTCGCTCCCCAGCAGCAACGCCTGCGACGGCCTCCTGATGGACCAACAGCTTTCGGCAGTGGGCCTGCGGAATTCGCGAAAAAGCTGGCCTTGGTTGAGTCACATTCAATCCTCCTGATGGTTTCAATTAGAGTTGACTTGAATACAGAACGTTTTACCTCCAGGCGAGCTCAAGTGCACACACAGGCTGGGCCAAGCTTGCCCACTTTTTATCAGGAACATGTTCTCACATATTCCTCGTACAAACTCCCTTCTAGACAGGGACACCAACACTTTGAAAAATCCCTCAGCGACCGGAGCAAGCAGTGGTTCCCGCTGACTATCAACCGCCAGACTTGGGAATGCCGCTCGCCTCCTGGGGCGAGCAGTTGTAGAAGGCGTTGGATTTTCCAGGCCCCCCACCCTCCGGCAGTTTCAGCGCGTCCCCCGAGCTGGAAGACCTGGCGAACACAAAGCGCTGGTGTAGGCTGGCCCACAAAGTATGGTGGCCACGAAGAACACATTGCAATGTTTTGTGCGATGTTTTGTTTTTTTGTTGGTGTGTGTGTGTTGTGTTATGTATATTTGTATATATATATATATATGGCTGTGTGTGTTTGTGCTTGAGCTGAACATGTTTTTCTGCCCCCCTGATTGTCTGACTGGAATCCAGCTGGTTTTGTTCTGAATCCCAGCCAGTCCATAGCTTATCAATCGCAAATTGAAGCAGGAACCTCTGCTGGCATTGTCAAGAAACAACCACGCCAAATCGTGGATGCCGAGGCAAGGAATTTTTATGTGGGTTTATCTCAGAGTTGAGCCCCACAACATATTCTGCATGTTGTATCATGTGTGGTGTCCTTCTCAAATCCCAAGGCAGTACCTGCAAACAAGACCAGACCATGTAACCGCGTACCAAAAGGAAACCTCAGCGGCACACTTCGATCGTGGCTTCTGTGCAACCTGTCAGCGCCCCACAAAACCTGTAAGTCGATGTTGCTCCCGACTTCCTGAGCTGATCTCAGTTCCTGTGGACAGCAATCAATCTAGCCCTTTGATTCGTGAATGGTGGCGGTCATTCACCGCGCAGAGCGGACATACCACAATAGCAATTGCCGTAACTTCAGCTGGAGTGCCTCACAAGTACGGACCCCTTCAAATGGCGGTGAGGGGACTCCTGTAAGCTTCCATTTAGAGGTTTGAAGATTCAGGTGCTTCAGACTTGTTCTGCCATATAGTCTGAAACACCATCTACTTCGTCCAGCCTCGTAGAAACACGACGGAACACAAAGCAAACTTGGCAAACTTGAACAGTCTGGCGTGGCGCAAGCAAGAACAACCCCTCTGAACGAAAAAGAAACTACATAACTATTAAAGAGGGGATCCTGTTTGCCCACCCTAAGCCTGGGCTTTGACCAGCATCTTCCTTCTTATCTTGGTTTATGGGCCGAAATCACAAGATAAGGGGTCAAAAAACAGGGTCCCCCCAACCGCGCGTGCCTCGCCCGGGTGAGGCGGTCTTTCGCCTCGCTCAGGAAGCTGGCGCCCTTTTTCAGCGTCTGCATGGCTAGCTGGCCGCTTGAGTGACCGCTCGCCGGGATCACACTGGCACCCCAAGGACCAGAAGGAGCGGCAAAACAAGTGATACTCCTTCATCTACTCCGGCTTTGATTGGCCGCCCAGAAACCAGTCATTCGATTCCAAAGCTTCCTGAAGCAAGGTCTTTCATTGGATCCATGCACGTTGTCAGCCAATGGCAAGGTTGCAAAAAGGGCCATAGTTGGAAGCGCACTAAGGAAACACATTCTTGGATATACAACAAAATCCCTGAGGATGGCTGGGTTTGCATGAGGCGTGCAGAAAGCCGGATCTAAAGCAGCAACCCACCAGTTGTTTCTACCTCCCTGGTATCTGCCCTGCGTGCCTGTCACGTTGGGCATTTCATGTAGGCAACCGCTTTGAGCATTTGTGGTCCTTGAACACCCGGAAAGTTAGTACGTGTCCAGCTCTGCTGCTTCTGAAGCCGCCCACAGCTGAGTCGAGCCACAATGTCACAACGGCACTCCGCATTGCGAATCGCAAGCCCAGGTCCACAATGTGACAGAATCCCAGAATGAAAGGCAGCGGTTGCAGAGGTTTCAACCCCAGACGCTGCTTTACAAATGTGAGTGCCCTGAGTGTTGTTTTTGTGTTCCCATCATCATGTTCGCACAAGGGCAACAAAATGGGAAATCGATTCTTAGATGCCGAACAAAGTGTTGACACAACCTAGATTCTAGATCCAAAAAGAATGTAAACACTGCATGGGAAGCTGCGCCCAAACACCACGCTGTCCCCATGAAATATCCTCCCAATGACAGAATAAGTGTCTGGTATGCATGTGGTTCACCGTTTCAAGGGGCTTTCTGATAAGGTCCCTATGGATGGCTGAGATAGCAACCGCCTATACAAAGAGTATACGGGGCGAGGAGATTCGGATGCTTCGCCGTATGAACCGAGAGATCGCATATTGTATGATTGGTGAGTTGCCATTTTTTGGACTTGTCTCCATATTGAGAACGGAATGCACACGGTCCTGTGTGTGGCACATTGCTAACATTGTACTTGCTTCTAGCCGATAATCGCCAAGTCGGTTGAGTGGATGGTGACAAGTGCCATCGAGAACGTACTATATCACCTGGCCCTCCTAAGTGGTTGTCCAACGTGTTGCTGCTGCACTCTAAAAAATGAAACTGCGTCCCGTCGCGGTAGGTCCATCCCATCCACACAAGGGCTCCACTTAGCCTTGAGGGAGCAGCATTTCTCGCTGCATTCATCCAACGTGTCCTCATTGACTTTCCCTTTCAATCCACCTCAAGCAGAAATGATTGCGTAAAACCCAGCGTTGCATTTGTCAAAAGTTGGCTTTGGTGAATCGCACATCCGGATGACACACACTTCAACACCCAAAGGGGTTGGTTTAGCACATTCGAGCACGTCACGCAAGAGAGGAGAGGAGAGACATGTTCGACTGTTTCGATTCGAGTTGACATCCGAGTGACAAGCAACAGCCAACCATTCAACATTGGAGCCAGTGGTCATTGCGAATCAACAGCAAAACAAACAATACATTAAGGCTGTGCGGCAGGTACAAGATTCAGCATCTCATCCAGGCACGGCTTGGAAATCAGGCGCCGTGCCCCCTGCATGGTATGAAATGTGGTCCCAGGGTAGCTCTGGGACTCAGCACACACACACACACACACACATCAACCTGTCCCCTGCAAAACTTGCTCAGGCAAGGACTATCCCTGCGCAGGTGGCCACCAACACCGAAGGGCGCAAGTGTACAAGATGGCCCGTTCCTCAAATGGTGCGTCCGAACAAGATGCCCTTCAACACGTGTCGAACGCCAAGAGGCAAAGAACATGTTGTTGGCCACATTTCTTTCGCAAATGCAACACTAGCCACTGTTTCCCCGCGAAATCCTTGGACCATTGTCACATTTGGAAAGCACAATCTGATCCGTGAGTCACCCCCAAAGTGGCAGTCTTGAAGATGATGTGGGGTGTGAGTCAAACCCCCTCAACGTGAAGCAAACTCTTCACCCAAGGCTTCCGGCGCGCTCCGCTGGCTCCGCTCTCTGAGGAGGGGTGCTCCTTAGATGGGGCTGTCAGAGGCCTGATATGGCGGTCGAAACCAGGGAGTCCTCTGAACGAATTCCTTCATGGGTGTCCCCTTTTTCAAGCGATTCTCGCAAGCTGTCCTGGCTTTGACAAACGCAGTATGAACACACCAGACTCGTCCAAGGGGATATATAATATATATATATATATAATATTAATACACATAATTTTGCACCTACATGCACATGCCTTAGTCATTCAATTCTGTGGATTTCAAGGCCCGAAAGGTACTCCCAGTTAACGTGTCTGTACTCCCTACAAGCAAGGGCAACCGAGCGAAAACCACAAGCTTCACAGCGTTGAACAAACTGTGGACTACGACGGCATGACACAGGCTCGCTGATTCAACGCTGCTTGATTGCCCAGAGGGACGCTGGGCTGATGGGTGACTCGTCAAGAAGCAATGCGAAACACTGTCAGGCCTATTCCGTCTCATTTCTTGTTAGGCTGAAGCCATCCAGAACTTCTGCTCATTTAGGTGTTTAAAGGAATGCTTGTTTCGTGCAGGGGTTGCTCAGTTGCTGACAAAGTCGCAAAAGGACCAGTGTGTTCTGACGGGTCCAACGACCACCTTGGACCACCCGTTCTGCTGGTTCAAGGCACCCAATTCAGCCGCTCTCGCTCCTGGCGATCCTGCCTCTCCTGCCGCAGTACTGCACCCAGAATGTGGCGGCCATGGTGACAAATACAACTGGAAGCATAAACTGGGTGTCAATGAAGTTCCACTGACGAATGGGTGTATTCGTTGCTCGCTTTAAGCATGATTATACGCTGCTGGTACTTTCACCTTTCTCCTGGCAATTTGTTCAAGATAAGCATGTTTATACGCTGCTGGCACTTTCCACTTTCGCCTCGCAATGAAAATCGGAGATGCATGGCAAATAAGCATCTCGTCAAGCATTGTAAGCCGCAACAAAGTGGCCCTTGTCCACCCTTACTATCAGTGCAACCGCCAAGTGTTGAAAGGCAATCAACTGTAAGCCCAATTACTCACGCTCAAGAGGCAACTCTCAGCGGGCCAGTAGATTCCATGTGGACCGCCCGCCAGGAACATAGACGACATACATCTACGGAAATTCAATCAAATAGAGTAGATTTGCCCTATTCTGGATAATCCCAAGTGTGTCGGCAGCGTATCAGTGAAGAGCTTGCATTTGCCATGGTCAAGCGTCAAACGCTGTTGCGATGTACATTTTTGGGGTACACGTGTCGGAAGCTTACCAATATATTCCTATATCCTACAGGAAGTTCGCAGATACCAAGCCCTTTCATAGGTGGCTTTTGGCTGCCTGCAGCAGAGGGGAGCAAAAAATTCCAGCAGCTTGCGAAGCAACCGTTTCAAGCAGTTGAGTCCGAACTTCCCAAGATCCGGACTGGGTTGTCAGTGAGAAGATCTTTCTGAACCATTTGGGTTGAAAAAACAACCCCGTGGACAACCCTATGCCCTGGTATCGGTCAGTATCGGCTCTTTCTCCTGCATCGGCTTACAGTGTTTTGGTAGCTCTAGCTCGAAAGTCGTAACTTTTTAGTATAAGTGTAGTACACATGGTACATGTTGGCAGCTCCAGCTGAAAAGTCACAACTTTTCAGTACAAGTGTAGTACACATAGTACATTTTGGCAGCTCCAGCTGGCAAGTCGCAACTTTTCAGTACAAGTGTAGTACACAAATACATTTTGTCAGCTCCAGGGAAGGCTGCAGGGCAGCTGGTTGGATTCGGCATGGCGGCTAATGAGTTGGGTATTGGTTGGGCATCGGTTTGGGCATTGGTTTGGGGCCCTGCAAATTTATGATTCCGCAGTCTTGGTGTGCGACAACAACTTGAACCTGATCTGTGTGTTCATGACTGCTGGGGGTAGCGGTTTTTTCCTTCTCCCCTCAGTATCGGTTTACAATGGTTTCGGCCTGCGAAACAAGTTAAGGGACGGCCCCTTACCTAACGACAAGGCGCGGGGTTGTTTTTTTCAGCCCATGTAGATGTCCTTTCCATGGTGTTTTGGATGGGCCTGTGCGATCAGCTTGATTGGTTTGATTCTAGGGCTCTGCTCAACATGAACATGTTTCGAATGGTCTGAAGGCTTAGGTTTACATGACCATTCAAAGTGTTACCTTCACTTCTGGAAGTGTCAGTCAGCTAATGCTGTATCCACAGCTTCAACACTTTGGGTGGTTGAGAGCTTCAGCGCCGCATAAGCAAACAAAAGGACAACGCTCGAACGTTCGAATGCCTTGGTTTGGGCAACTCGCGTATACGAGTAGAACCTCTCTCTGGGACAACAATCCATAGCGTAGCAAAGGGAGGCTACCTTCTGCCACGGCCAAAGCCGTTAAACATCCCCAACAAGAAAGCACTGCACAAGCTGCACACGTGGCCAAGTCATACTTCTTGCTACGGGCTGAGTGGGCCAAAGTTATCCCCAGACTCTCACAATCTCGCTGTGATTGGCCGGATAGAGCTTGGTGAGGGCTTGGGTGGGAACAACGTAGTTCGTTTTCTGAGAAGTGGATTACCTGGGCATTTAGGTACCCGAACCAACAAAATTCACAACTTGTCACATGCCAAATGCATGCGTGCTTCTCCTGAACGTGTCCTATCGGTTGTTTCCACTCTTGCTCGGTTATGTTTTGCAGCAATCCCAGCTTTTTGCCAAGACCCACGTCGCCACCAAGCACTCATGCCCATCGCCCCGGCCTGGCGCGAGTGACCTAGGGCGCCAGCGGCCGGGCTCCCAGCCGCCCGGCCGACAAAAGAGAGGACCCCTGTTTTAAGATGGATTTAGAACAAAACATTGGAGCTGAAAGGACAACAGGTACCACTAGCACTCTGCTTCTGTTTGGCCAGGGGTAGGCGTTCAGTCTTGCACAATTGACCAGTTCTTCCCCATTAGCTTTCGCCAACT